GTTGAGGGTCCGCAGTTGCATGTCGACCAATGACTCGCAACTAGGGATGTGTGTGTTTTTCGGGGCCCTCGGTTGCAAGACGATCGTCAACTTGCAACCAAGGGGATGTGTGTGTTTGTCGAGAGTCCCCAGTTTCAAGCCAACCATCGACTTGCAACCAAGGGGATGTGTGTGTTTGTCAAGAGTCCCCAGTTTCAAGCCAACCATCGACTTGCAACTAGGGAGGAGTGTGTGTGTTTGTCGAGGGTCCATAGTTGCATGTTGACCATCGACTCACAACTAGGTGGGAGGGGGTGGAGAAGTGTGTTTCTATAGGCCGGGTTGCAAGTCAACCATTAACTCGCAGCCAAGGGTGTCGGCGTTTGTCGTGATCCCCAGTTGCCTGTCAATCATCAACTCGCAACTTAGGGTGTGCATGTTTTTCGTGGTCCCCGGTTGTCAATGTGTGTTTGTCGAGGGTCCTTAGTTGCATGTCGACCATCGACTCACAACTAGGGGGTGTGTTTGTTTGTCGACGGCCCCGCGGTTGCAAGCCGACCATCGACTCGCAACTAAGGGTGTTTGTGTTTGTCGATGGTCCCTAGTTGCATGTCAACCATCGACTTGCAACTAGGGGAGTGTATGTTTGTCGAGGGTCCTAGTCGCATGTTGACCATCGACTCGCAACTAGGGGAGGGTGTGTGTCTTTGCCGGAGCCCCCAGTTTACAAGTCAACCATCGACTGGCAACTAGGGGGGTTGTGTGTGTTTGTCGATGGCGTCAAGTTGCATGCCGACCATCGATTCGCAACTAAGAGTGCTTGTGTTTGTCAAGGGTCCCCATTTGCATGTCAACCGCCGACTCGCAACTAGGGTGTGTGTGTGTTTGTCGAGGGTCCCCAGTTGCAATCCGACTATCACAACTAGGGGGGTGCGTGTATTTGTCGAGGGTCCCCAGTTGCATGTCAACCGTCGACTCGCAACTAGGGACGTGTATGTGTTTGTCGAGGGTCCCAAGTTGCAAGCTGACCATCGACTCACAACTAGGGGGATGTGTTTGTCGATGGCGCCCAGTTGCAAGCCGACCATCGACTCGCAACTAGGGGGTGTTTGTGTTTGTCGAGGGTCCCCAGTTGCATGTCAACCATTGAATCGCAACTAGGGTGTGTGTGTTTGTCGAGGGTCCCTAGTTGCATGTCAACCATTGACTCGCAACTAGGGATTGTGTGTGTTTGTCAAGAGTCCCCAATTGCAAGCCCAACATCGACTTGCAACTAGGAGTGTGTGTGTTTGTCGAGAGTCTCCAATTGCAAGCTGAGCATCGACTTGCAACTAGGAGTGTGTGTGTTTGTTGAGAGTCATGTTTTTACTGACGATATTATGTCATTTGTTTATTCCATGCTGTGAAATGTAATTGGGTTGCACAAACACTAGACTGGTTACTCTGTTAGTCTAGAACCAAGGAAAACATATGTACGATTTTTTTTCATTGCTTTTTAGGCAGGATTAGGTTGTCGAAGTGAAAATGAATGAATTTTTTGTGCATTCGAACACTGAATTATACATGTTTTCCTTCTCTTTTTCCGCAACAGCTCTCCCTGGAAAATCTAAGAATACTTTTGACTGTTATATATAGGCCATGTATTTGTCAAAAATATAGAAACATAAATTTCAGTATATAGTACTTCATGTAAATTGGGTAGGATATGTAAGTTTTGTAAAGTTTTTTGGGACCCTTTTTGAATACTTAATCTTACATTTTTTGAATCCAGCACCTACTCTCATAGACTGTACTGTACTGTATGTAAAGAAGTCTATGCTTTTTTTTTTTTGCCTTAAAAGACGATTTCAGAGTTCACATATAAAATGATCTTTTAGTTCTGGACATAATTTTCATAGAGAGAATACTTGTTTGTTTCCTTACAGGGTTTGTAAGTCTATACAGATCATGTATCAATTTTACATAAGCCCATAATTCCCACTCAGCGTTTTTGTTTTTGTTTTAGTAGCCTTCTCTTTTAGTCCCACTTAGCGTTTTTGTTTTTGTCCACTAGCCTATTTTTAGGCCCGTCAGAAATAACCTGTTTACTAGGCTTGTCTTTTTAAAAAAAACTTGTTCAGTACTCATAGCAGGCCAAGTAAAGACAGGGGGTGTGGCAGTAGGCGCGTGAGTTGTGTCACATCTAGATGAGTCTTAGACACACCCTTATTTTTAACCCTAAAAAACTTTTTTTATTTTTTATTTACCCCTTAAATAAAACATTGTTTTTATTTTTTATTGAGACTCTCCCAGTTCAATAATTGAGCGTTGAGATTGTGTCAGCATCTCTGGGCCGAAGAGGGTGCCTCCGAATGTCGAGGAGGCGAACAGAAAGGCCGAGACACAGAGAGCAAAGAAAACAAAAAAGAAACAGATTCTAGCCCATTTCAAGCTTGCCACTACTCAAAAAAATTCTCTTTTTATAGGCTGAAATAACAAATCCTTGTGCAAGCAATATCCGTGAGTGAGTGAAATGTAGTCATACCATTACCTGACTGTTGTTGCTAAATTATACCATTCCCCAAAGAAAACCGTTCCATGCTCAGTCATTTCAAGTTTATTAGGTTAAACAAGATATACTCCTATTTCTTTTGAAAGCAGGTTCAACAAGTTGCAGCTCTGAAGCCAGGCCACAGCAATAGTCTGAAAGCACTGGCCGACGGAGCTAACAAGCAACAGAGTCAAAGGCCAGCCACCAGTAGTACGCTACGATGGAAACGATGCTCCTCGCCGACGGAGCAGGGCGCCAGATATTCAGGATCACGCCCAAGACATGGGGTCATAAATACTACTCCCTCTGTTCCTAAATATAATTCTTTTTAGAAATTTCACCATGAACTACATACGGAGCAAAATAAGTAAATCTACACTCTAGAATATATCTATATACATCTGTATGTAGTTTGTAGTGAAATCTCTAAAAAGACCGATACTCCCTCCATTCCAAAATAGATGACTCAAACTTTATACTAATTTTAGTATAAAGTTAGTACAAAGTTGAGTTATCTATTTTAGAAGAAGAAGGTGTATTTAGGAACGGAGGGAGTAGTAGATGGCGTGCCATTGTCCATTGCGGTCCCAACTCATCCACAACGACTGTGGCGATTCCACATCCATAACATTTTCCACAGAGGATTAGAGATGATGATCTAATATACTACTACCACTATTTTGCTTCATGGTTCCAGACGAACAATCTCTTCAGAGTTCTGATGAACAGACAATTAGACGAAAGGATCATGGAGATTAAACAGGGGATGAAGAATCAGGAGAAGGGAAACGGGCACTAAATTAGCTGCTTGCTGAGCATTGCCTAGTTAGAAGAACCGCCATTGCTACCTAGGTGCGGCTTCTCTGCCTCGAGCAGAAGTCAAAAAATGAATCCATCCTGCTTCTGCCTCTACTCCGAATCGCTCTCCATGCACAGCGCCTTCAGTCCCCTCGCCCTCTGCTGATTGAATTTGCGAGATATCAGTAACACATGGATAAACGTAGACTGAACTAACAGCTCCATTGTATGCTACTTGCAACCATAGGGAAATGAATCAAAGATTTGGGGTACCTTTTTGGAGCTCTTCTTCTCTCGAACTTCATACCTCTCATGCGAGAGATCTGACAGCCAAGCTCCTGGGCACACCGTCTATGGCCATACACAACAACGACCAACAAAACATTAGGGTTAAGAATGAGCATGAACATGTCTTTGACAGAAAAGAACTTGACAGTTTAGTTTCTGAGATGAAAAAGAACATTACAAGCAAGCATTTCTGCGTCAGCTTGGGCCTCTTCTTCGGCCTCTGTGGGAGCTTGCAGCCCTTCATTGCCAAGAAGTCCTCCTCTTTCTCCTTGTTCGACAATGAGATGAAGAACCTCGGCAGAGCAGCGGTGCCCTTCTCTTCCACCCCGCCGCTGAAATCAAACCCATTCCCCTCAAAGGGAAATGGGGAACCCCTGGTGGAGTAGTACCGGTCCTTCTCTGGTGAGAGGGATATGCACTGCCTGGCCTCACTCGCCTGTGCCTCGGATTTTCTGCTAGCAAGCAAATACCAGGGTCAGACATTTCTTGACATTTTGCACGGCAAGGGTCAAAGGGAAAGGGGTCTACGGATGCAATACTAAAATTACCTCCGGTGAAGAGTGCTCGGGCGGCGTGGTGAACGAAACTGTGCGACATCGCCTCCCAGAAGGGGCCGATTCACCCGGGGTATGGTGCGCCTGAGCGCATCCGTCCGGGCCGGCGACGGCGAGCCGTCCTCCCGGGACTTGACGCAGCGAAGCCGCTTCCGGCTGCCCCATTGCAGGAACAGGTTTGGCTCGCCGGAGGGCTTTGACTCCTTGACCTCCTGGTCCATCTATATCCTGAAAAACGGCGAAGCCGTCAGCATGTAAATAAACCCTAATAAACTGCAGATCGGGATGAACTTTGCCAAACAGAGTTAGCAGCAGAGGAGACAGGCAAGCTGTAGATCCAACGACTTCGGATAAACCGCTAAATCTTCCGTTGCAAAGTAGCAAGTGCTTCAAGGATTGTTGGGCATATCCATCAGATCCAGCCCAACAGATGCATCAGATCGGACATGGCCTCGTGAAGAACAGAGAAGGGGCTCAGGGAAGGCAGAGAGGGAGAGGGGAAAGAGGTGGGCTTCTGGCGGTTCACCTTCTCGCTGCCTGCTGGAGACGGTGGTGGAGCACAGGAGCCGGGCTCCTGGCGGCTTCGGTAGCAGAGGGTTGATGAAGTTCGGCGGGGAGGCGGCGTGCAGGTTGGAGCTCCTGGCGGCGGTTGCGGTAGCAGATAAGGTTTCCGGCGGCGAGGACGAGGAGGAAGTTCCCGACGCAGGCAGCGAGGAGGCTGGCGCGGGAGATGGGGCGGCGCGGCGCTGGACGACGGACGGCGTGGTGGCGCTCGACGGTGTACGGCAGGCGGACGCAGGAAGTGGCGCGGCAGATCTCGACGGTCGATGAGGCGCGACGGCGAGAAGGGGCGTCGGCGGAGGTGAGGAGGGGCTCGGCGGAGGGCGGAGCGGCCGGCAAGAATGGAGGCGGGCGGTGGCGGCGGAGGCGAGAGAGGTTGGGCGCTGGGGTGGATTTTTTGGGGAGAGGCGGCTGGGAAGTTGGGGGGAGAATGGGAACGGGGGGAGGCGCTGCGCTGCGGAGCGCGGGGTAGCCGGGCGGGGTGGGAAGCCCCAAAGATATCATCCACTCCTACTACTGCTGCCACGACTTTTGGTGGGTTGCAGAAGTTGCGAGGTTTTTCAAACAAAAATCATAAGGTTTGCAAGGGTTTTAAATTTTGTCATCAAATTTATTCACAACATGACAAAATAAACAGTGTGCTGAATTGAGCAATTTTTTAAAATATAATATTATCAACCTGACTAGTTTTTCATTGCATGTCCGCCTCCTTGTGCGTCAGACGCGTGTACCTATGGGTTCACCTCGTTCTTCACGTCCACACCCGCGCCTCCCATTTCCAATCCCTTATGCCGCACACACTCACTTTTCCCTTGAAGATCAGCACCGCTTCACCATCCATAGTCGTGTAGGCTCCCAGCGGTGGTGTTGTCCCTCCTGCCTCCTTGCGCATGAAGCTCTATGTGCGCACAGTCGCGTCTCTCAGTCTAGGCCTGAGTAGCGCTAGCGCTTCAACGGTTGCCATTCAAAGCTGCTAGCGAGCCACCGCGGCCGCGCGGAGCTCCCGCTGGTGAGCTACTTCGGACAGCCGCTACTGCATGTGAGTCACCGCGACACGCGCCAGTGCTGCAAGGCACATTGCTGGGTTGCATGGCGACTCGCACGCCCACGAGTCGGAGTTGTTTTTGCAATAAGGGCCATATTGCAATGAGGGTTCTCAACATGGGTCTTGCTGCAATGACAACAGGCACGCCCGCGAGCCGAAGATGCTTTGCAACAAAAGTCCTGGTGCAATGAAGGTGTGTGGGTCTTGTTGCAATACCAACGGACACGACCGATAACCGAGGGTGATTTTCACAAGAAGAGTCATGTTGCAACGAAGGTTTGCAGCATAGATCATGTCGCAATGAGGTAAGCATAGAAGAGGAACAATCGGACCGTGAGCATCATACTATTGGATGGCTCGCTAGCCGGTTGATCCTTGACAAATATCATCCAGACGACGCATATCACATCCTGTTTTTCTAGTACTTTTAGCAAAGGAAGCACAAATTCCTAAGAAAATCAGTTGGGACAAATATCATACAATCGGTACTAATGTAAACAAATCAATGGAACACAAAGAAAGAACAAAAAACCAATAAAAACTGATAAAGAAACGAGAAAACCGGTGAAAACGAAGAAAAAAGAAACACCGTGGAACACTAGAGAAAAACTAGTTCAAAAAAAAATCAAGAAACCAAGTAAGAAACTAAAAGCGAAAGTATAATGAAGAAAAAAGAAAAGTCAAAGAAAAACTAAAAAGAAACTTAATATAGAATAAAAAACAAAGAAAAGAAAAAAGAAAAAACGAAACAAGCAATGATAAGAAACAAAACAAACCAGAACACACGTTATACTGGGCCGGCCCAGTCGCACGACGCTGTGGAAAGCTTTAGGTGAGGGGAGCTATCATCTCACTTATAGTGAGATATAGCACTTGCGCCGACCTAGAGAAGACGGAAGGAAGCCTCACTGAAGGCGAGAGCGACTTGACCAGGCGTGCGGAGGCCACAACGTCGGATTTTTTTCTCCACATTTTTTTTGCTTTTTTTTTGCTTTCTAATTTTTCTACCAAATATTCTAAATAAATATATTACAAAAAAATTACATTAAAAATTGAAAACAAATTTTGACCAAGCATTTAAAAAATATTAAACTTGTATAGATAAATTGTTTCTCATGTATACGAAAAACCTATACAAAAAATATACAATATCCGTGAAAAAAGTTGATAATTTATTTAAAAAATGTTAATCAAGCATTTCATACAAATGTTAGAAAATTATTTGAAAATGTTAATTAATAATTTGAAAATGATATTTATATAAAACATGTTGGCCATGTATTAAAAAATGTAGATTTTGTGTTAAAAACTGTTAACAAAGCATTTAAGAAATACTAAATGTGTATATAAAAATGTTGATCATGTATTAAAAAATGTTGATATTGTGCTTGCAAGATGTTTAAGGTGTATTATATATATACCAAAAATTTACAATGTGCATGGGAAAATTTGACATAAAAAATAAGTTTTCAAAAAATGTTAATCATATATTTGCAAAATGTTAAGCTTCTATATAAAATATATTTCTGATGTATAGGTTAAATGTTGACTGGAAAAGTAAGACGTGTTGAAAAAAAAGAAACCAGTGAAAATCGACAAAAAAACTAAAGAAAACGAAGAAAACCAATGAAAAAACAAAGGTAACAAACATAAAAGAATGAAAAATGATGAAAACTAAGAAAACAGAATAAAGAGAGAAAAGAAAAAAACCCAATGAAAAACGGAAAGAAACAAATAAAACTGAAGAAAAAAATGAAAACCGATGAAATCCAAGAAAGTAACGAAGAAAACAAATGAAAAAGCAAAGAATAAAATAAAACAGTACATAAAACAAAGAAAACAAATAGAAAACTAAACAAACCAGAGAAAGCGGAGAAGAAACAAAAAAACCGAGAAAAAGGATTTAAAGCAGCGCGTGTCAGGGCATGTATAATGGTTGATAAGATAGTTTTATTTTAAATCTTGCATGTAATTTATAGATGACAAAAAAACATATCTACAATGGGTTATCTCTTAGCCTTATCTTTAATAACTGGGTATTCCTAAAAATGTAGTGAGACATATTGTGTTAAGAGATTATCTCTTGTCTTCTCTTAAATAAAAGAAGACAAGTCTTTTCTTATGATTTCTCTCTCCTCCATTTCATCATTTATCCTACATGATATTGCTAAGATATAACCATTATGCATGCCCTCAGAGAGCAAAGAAAACAAAGCAAACGGGCCAGCTCAGTTCTCTGCGAGATGAAGATTTTCTTCAGCGGAGAAGCTATGATCTCGCTATAAGCTAGACATAGCTCTCGCGCAAAATAGGAGCCCATGTGAGCGACATATAGCTCCAGCGGGAGATATTGTCATATCCCATTGATGTGTTTGTATCTTTTTTTGTTTCCTTTTGTTCTTTTAATTTAATTTTTATAGTGAAATTTTTTATTATTATATATTTTTATTTTGGTCATTTTCATTCATTTATCTATTTCATTTCTCTTTTCCATTTTATATTCTTTTTCCATTTTATTTTTATTTTTTACTTTCTTCTCTTTGTTTCAATTTGTTTTGGCAAAATAAATTGTTTTATTAAAATTGAATTCACATGAATTCTAATATGCATGAACATTATTTTTAAAATCTATGATCCTTTTGTAAAGTACATGAATATTTCTTTCAGCTATATTCACATATATTAATTTCAGATGAACATTTTCTTTTCTGCATACACACATTTATATTTAGGTACATGGTCATAATATCGTGTTGGAATGTACACATTTTATATTATCAAATTTATATTTCAAATTTTTTATTATACATAAATGTATGTTAAGGGACGACCCGTATCAACATGCCTTAGGCGGAGCCGGCCCCCTATCGCACATTAAGAGAGGTAGAGCTCCCGATGGATGTAGCTCCTAAGACATGTCCAGGAAGCATTGTCGACTTCCCTTCATCTTGGCTGATGGCAACCATAGCGGGAGATATTTTAAATTGTAGTAGTAGTAGCAGCAACAACACCAACAATAATAATAGTATATTAAAGAGATAAAAGTAGGGTTATCATCCATAGTTTCTGGTAGCCACAAACTTCGTGCATATTGCACGGGGGAGGGGGGGGGGTAGTAGTCATTCTTATTTTTAATTAGCCGTCGTAATTAGTTAATCATGCATACCGCGGATGAAACCAAGAAAACACATAAACATATAGCAATAATGTATCGATCATAGTTAAAAAATGCATTTATCATGTTGTATGTTATTTTTTTGGTTTGTTGAAAAGACTCCATTTGATACAAAGTACGGAGCATGCATGTAGCACAATCGTTGAACTGATAAAAGAGCAATGCTAACTACTCAAGGACAAACCACTTCTAGATCTACCACACACTCTACCTTATATTTCACCTAAGTTAGATATTTTCACACTAGCAACACTTACATGCTATTTTTTTAGACATGTTTTATACCACCCTATGGAAAGATAGCATGTGTTATGTTAGATAGCTAAATATCAAAATCCTCTTTTTTTAAATGTACCACTGAACCTAAAAACTATCGACATTAGTACTATTGTGCACAGGAAGAACATAGTGTCCGTAGGCACACTGAGAATTTCTAAGAA